GACGGAAGTTCGCGGCAGGCGCTGCGTAGCGAAGGAATGTACCCTTATAAGGGCCCTATCAAGCTACAACATACCGACTCGGACGCCCACCACGCCCTCCCGCCCACAAATGGGCGACCGTACCTGATGCTACTATTGTTTCATTTGCTAAGAAATATGAAGAGAAGGGACTGATAATCAGCCGCGGTGCTGTATGGATGAGTACATAGGTGCAGACCTACCGTAATGGTTATTGGCACGATGCCAGCGGGGAAGTCGTCCGAAATTGCTTTTTGAGCCATTAAGAATCGGAGGTCCTTTCTTCGCAAGTCTTTCACCTTTCCCCTTCTTTCTTTCGCCATTTTCATACTATATAGCATTTTAGACCTAGTACCAGATAATCGTGCCAACTGCCTTTAGGGGGACGCATGCCCCACTTCTCTGTGTGAATTGCCAAATGTGCGATTACCTTGGAGTATAAGTCTGCTTTATTCCCTTAGTCACGGTCAGTACTAAAACTGAAGTCCAATCGATCCTGTCAATGGCACAACCCACAAAAATGAGGATGATAGGATTGAGACAGGCACTGTCGATGCTGGTCATGCGTCCAGTGAAGAAAAGAGCAAAAGAAACCGTCAAAACCACTTTCGACAAGACCCTTTTGAAAACTTTTTTTATCAATAGGGCAAAAAATACTGAATGCGCGAACGAGAGGGCAGGTGATAAAGGAGTGAGCACACAGGCAACAGAGATGAGACCGCAACACATTTGCTAGTCGTGCTCTTTTCACAGAAAGATCTCAACGCCTGTTTAAAGATTTAGCACTTTGCTTTTAGCTACGGAACGCTAAATATCTTCTGCGCTACAGTCACTGCGCTTGACCGACCTCCCTTACCGACAAGGACACCACGGAGCTCAGATTCTCCTATAAGTGATCGAGAACCCAGCCCTTGAATGTTGTTGACTTGTTGAGGCAACCACAGCCATTGATGTCCCTTATACTCATGCCTTGATTGAGTGTTTTGATCAAATGTAATAAGTCAGATAAACTGAGAAAACTTACCACAGTAGATGGTCCAGTAACGGTAGGTGTTGACGAACGAGCGACTGGTGCTGAACTTGTAGTTTTCGAATCTTTACGAGGTGAAGTTGATGGCTGTAGTGGATGAGGCGACGACAGAGGCGTGTGACCAGTGAACAGAAACTGTGTACGGGGTCGTTCTGAAGGAGTACAGACGGGAAACGCTGGCTTCTGTGGTCTGCAACAAAATTTATCTGCCAGGCTTTTTCATACACTCTTGAGCTCCATTAAACATTAGGTAGCTTCATTAAGCTTTGAAGTGTAACTTTTACATGCTTGAAGAAGAACCTAAAGTCACATTAAAACACTTCCTTTCTGCAGTAATCGGACGAGCGGAGACTTACAACCACCGTTCCTCCCTTTCCGCATTCTTCTGCTCCTTACCGCATTAGAAGGAGAGATGCAAGGTGGAAGATTTAACGGTTGCGAGTCTCCGCTCGTTCGATTGCTGCGGAAGATAACTTTAAAGGACCAGTCACGTGGGCGGGGTTACTTTTATTAAGAGTCAATGCATTCAACAGAAATGTTATGCTATGGTGACTTACCCGACAATATCCTGCTCTACTGGAGTCTCTGCGACGGTGGAAGAGTGTGACTGTAATTATGTACGTTAAGAAGCGTACTCCTATTCTGTAGAATTCGCTTCCTATGGGGACATCGTGGAATTGAAAAATAAAAAGTTCCTTCATCGAAACGCTTTCGAACTTTTGGTGATCTTGTTTCTAACCCACAACCCCCCCCCCCACAAAAGTCTATCTAGTGGACTACAAAGCACTGTACAGCAAAAGGAGGTTTAGCACTGGGCTGAGCCACGATTCCATGTAATATTCCCAGGCAGCGGCACCCCCTCCCCGTCGAAGTTCTCATTTCTATATTCAAGCCTTTCAGTAAATCTGGAGGAGACTCACAAAGTTAGGAGCGTGTCTTTCAGACTGACGGCCAAACTGGTGATAATGATGGGCGTGAACAGCTGAAACGTGATGGATATCATTTGGGGCCTTTCCTTTCAACGGCACTCATTACGAGTGGATGATAGTAAATGTATTTCACTTTACTAACGTTCATAAAACGAGTTTCAAGCCACAAGGGGCACAAAAGCCAGAAAAATCGTCTTATGTCGGAGGTGCAAAAGTGATGCACGGGCGACGGCAGCGCACTCCCATGCTGACTCTACCCTCGAACGTCTCTGCCTTTCTCCCTCATGTCCACCCTCACCGTTCTCGCAGCCACGCCTCCTGTAGCCCTTAAATCCGAACATAGCTGCTACAACAACCGTCCCGGCTAGAAAATTGCGGTGTGCACCGTCCAAAATGGGTGGCAAAGAACAGTGGGGTTCATGATTGCTTGCGTAATTGACGTCTCCTTTCCACTGACGGAATGGATGCCTTTGCGCTGCTCGTCCCCATCAAGGCCGTATCCAAAGGTGTTCGAGAAGAACGCAGCACTGTTTTTGCTGCGAAAGTGGCAATTGACGGTAGACTGCATTTATACTTTGCGGAGCGTCCAGTGGCGTCTACCAGCGTTCACTAGCGTTCCGAGCGTCCGGCAGCGTCAGCGACTAGGAAAGTATAGATATCGATCTAGCGTCTGCCAGCGTCTGCCAGCGTCCACCAGCGTTCACCAGCGACCGGAAGTAGAGAGCATGGGGAAGTGGGGGGGGTTGCAACAGCTATATCTGATGACTTTCGTCGTTTGGCGTCGTGATAATTGCGGTTGTGCCAACCACACCGCACAAATTGCTAAAGCAACAGAATTAATGTACTGCAACTCACATACCCGTACACTGTGCGGTGCAGTACAAGTTGTGGGTACAGTTATATACGCTGCAATTTTCAACGCTAACTACCTGCCGCTATGATGCGTGGATAGCTGGCGTGACGACTAGGTGATACCTACGTACCTCTAGAACTCGAGACGCTGACAGGCGCTGGTAAACGCCGGTGGACGCCGCCGCAAAGTATGAACCCAGCCTTACTTTTCGCTGGCCCTGAACCTAGAAACAGCGTTCCACAGCTGAAGAAGTGCCAATATTATGGCGAAGCCCTTGAGTGTTCAGATGCCTGAATATGGCCGTAATCCACAGTATAGACCACCTCCAATGAAAAGTGAAATACCACCGGTCTGAATACGTCGATAAAGATCCCAGCGCCCGACTTCATCGACGAGAAGGCGCAGAAGAGCAGAGCGTACATGCTTCTATCCCATTAGGCATTGGCGTCTAGCAATCACAGACCTTGGTTACTTTATCCAGCCCTCTTGAGTGTAGGCAGTAGCGCAACTTCTACTCGCTTTTCTGAATGGCGGCGTGCCTTGTACATAAGAGGAGGCATAAACTTCTCACCTAACTGTGAAGTGCGGCCTCAAAAGATTGCGAAGGAGTGGTAATATCTCACGTCTCATTGAAATTTCTTTCATCTTGAAATCCATTTCTTTTTTACTTTTTCCTTCCTCTTCATATTTCTTCTTCAGTACATCACACTTGTTTCGTATTGTTCGCACGTACATCTGAAGTGCTCACAATCAGAAATACATGTGAACTGATTTCTTAGCAAACAGACATACTGTAGCCGCCTTAGTGCCGCGGCGCCTGGAGAATACGTGACCACGGAATTAGTTATGAGCGCGATGGCGGATGGACTGTTGTCAGTCCCGTCAGGAACTTAGACAGCGTGCAAACGATAGCGCAGAGCGCAGGCGGCGCAAGAGTTGGCGAGGCACCGCTAGTCTCGCTCTGCTTGTATCGATAACATCCCCCCCCCCCTCAAATGCGCGCTCACAGCTTAGTTCGTGGACACTTCCTCTCAAAAGCCGTAGTGTAGGCTATACGTATGCGTGCAGAGGTAGGTGCTAACGTAGGCTAGCGTAGCCAATCCGCGTTCTTTCCCGTAACCAAGCCTCGAGCTTAGAGCGCAGAACATCGTAGTCGGCGTGGGCTACCTTGCGGACAGGGCAAGTCCTAGCCCTACGGTGGAGACCCCAGCGAGGGGGTCATGTTTGGCTGCTTCAGGGAGGAGGGGCGTCTTTGGCCTTAGAGAAAAATGTATTAGTTTGCTCCCTCCCCCCCCACCCACTGTCGACGGTTGTTCTTGGGGAAAACTCCAGAATTTCCCTTGAGAAGAGACAGAAAGTTGGGTAGAGTTTAGGAAGATTGTCGTACTAGAGGAAGAAGTAGTTCAGGAATTTTGACGGCGTGGGGGTGGGGGAAATGATCGTATTTCGCATAAATTTCCCCAAACAGCAGGACGTGCCCTGCTCTCAGAACAGATATTCTGCACGCTACTCTGACCACCTGTGCTCTAAACAAAAGCCTTGGTTGGCGGAAGGAGCGCAAAGGCGCTTCCGCTCAGCTCAACCACTAGCACCTGGAGGTCTTTTACTCTGATGAAGCGATTGAATGGGATTGTTTTTGCTACAAATCCAATGTAGCAAAGCTTAACAACGTACCCAACGTGTGAAGGTAATTGTAAGGCAACCACACACAAACAGCAACATGGTAAACATAAACAGCACAATCATTATCCAAAGTAGTGTATTACTTGGTACACAACAACCTGGAATAGAACTACTCACTCGCACGGCAGCTTTTAGAAGCGAAATAGTTATGCGTATTGCTGGGTACTGTCAAAACCTCCTCTTTGGTCCATTTTTTCCTTTGCACTGGCTCCGTAACGGGTTATTTGACGGGCTTGCTCATGTCCATACGAACATGAGCCTGCTGCGTCAAATAAACTCTTGTGGCTGCAATGCCTTGGCCGGCTCTTCTTGTCCACTCTGCTCGTGATGTCCTGTCACTGAACAGCGGTCCGACTGCGTTCCTTCCGCAGAAGCATCCTAAACCTGAGGGCACCCATCGCATGCGGCACAACAGGTGCTCGTCGTTGATGTCGATGGAAAATAATCGCAAGATCGTTTCAGTGATAAGGAACGTTTACTACTGCTCATGACATCTCAGTAACATCCACCATTTATATGGAACCCGGTTCATTTAGCGGTCATAAATATTACCCTGTGGAAGGAGGCACAAGAATACTTGTGCGTCAATTACTGAAGTGCTAAGATGGCAGGCCATTTCAAGGCGTATTGTACGTGTCGCATGTTCAATCAGATTCCACGTCTTTGTACGCTTCAAAGGAGGACGATACAGCTGTCCCCTTGAAGTTTTTTTTTTTCTTAGTGTGCCCGAATTTGACGACGGCTAAGTTCGTCGTTATGAAGACTGTAAGCGGCAGCGGTCCCCGAATAGAATCAGACCCGATCATCTGAAGAATCTTCCGCCAGTTCTCACTGGAATTGTCTCTAAACCAAACATCCTTCTAGACGCATCTCAGCTATATTAGAATGAATTACGGGCGCAGTTTGTCGACGGGCGAGGGGGGGGGCACTTTGCACTTTCGCTACTTCTCTTCGACGTGTCGGCACCTATCGGATCAGCCCTACTTCTCTAGCTTGACAGGTTTTAAAAATGATGGCTTGATTACCTTGTTCCAGATTCACAAGAGTTCACAGGTTTCGCCAGAGTGAGACATGTAAACCGGAACTGACGAAGCAATTATAGTGCAAAATGTCCCCCCCCCCCCGTCGACAAACAGCGCCTGAATTACGTAGCCACGCCCTTGCATAGTCGGGGCATGAATCTTCGAGTCTCCAGTGTAGCAATATGAGCGCGGCATCAGGGTTGTACCTGGACAAATGCCATATTCACTCACCATGTCTGAACCAAGAAAGAGAATTTCTCAGTGGAGATGATTTCGGTGGATGACCCATTTGATGTCGTTGTCGAATTCGAGGCACAATCTCCTTGTGTATTAGGTCTGAAACAGGGACCTTCATTGGAAGAGAGAACGGCGAGAACTGGGTAAAGTCGAGGAATGGGCAGCTGGCTTGAGTCGCTTCTGTACGCTCTGCTGTTACAGTGGTCTGGGAAGCATCACAGATCTACAATTGCCGTGAGAAAGACGGAAGATGACCCACAACGGCGCTCGCAAGGTAGGCCAGGCAGCAAGGAACAGTAACCTCGGGAACCCATCTGAAACTGTACTCAAACGCGCAGTGCACACTGATGGTGCGGGCGGAGCCAGGCCGACAACTGTTACATCTTCATAGGTGCACTCCTATCCAGGAGGCGGATGGAGGCTGCAATGAAGGAGGCCGCATTGTCGGGCCCCCGTCCAGGTGATCACCGTGGGAAGATCCTCTAGTCCAGTCTCCTCGATTCTTGCCTTCAAATGTCGCACTAGCCAGCAAAACCCCATATCAGAAGGTTTGCAAGAGCTGACCTACCTTGTCAAGAAACAACTGCAAATGTGAAAACCACCGTTGGTTCGCACCTGAAACCGCCGGTCAAAACAACCTTATCGTAGGTATCCTATTTGTAATTTAGTCTTCATTGGCCTGCTCTCATCTTCAGCAGCGCGACGCTTGAGAACGGTCATCGACCATATACGAGTGGTATCAATGCTCCAATAAACTGCTCTGCTAAGGTTTTCGGAAGGTGGAACAGTGCTACTCTCAGTATGTGGCATGCAGAGGCACATCGGTTCTAACCCAGATCCGTGGTGATCTCCCCTGACAACTACCCACCAATGTTCACTGCCCAGGCTTGTTCTTCTCACGGCTTACTTTTTTGCTAGACAAGTTGAGAGGATCGTCGATCTGATGCGGGTACAATATTCCTGCGGAGATGTTTTTTTTTTTTTTTTTTTTTTTTCGTAGCCGCCATATGAGCTTGTCTTGTTTAATATTGCTAGCGCTGGGTGGGGGCTCAAGATGCTGTGCATCCTGGCTAGTCACATCCTGGTACTTCTCTCGGTTGACTTTTGACCAAGATAACGTGGCCGCTACCGAGGTGTGGACCCATTCATCCTGCATATTGAAAAACGTTCGTCTTGGAGATGACTTGGTAGTTTGGGATATGGACGGCATATTCCTTTTAAAGCCCTTGAGTGAGTGATGGTACCGATTCTAGGACGCTGACTACGCTAACGTGAATCGCGCGTGATTCACTTAGTTGACAGTCTTTCCAAGCTATTCTCTGGTTACGAGTAATGACCAATATTATTCACTATGTTCGTCACATGGAACAGCCGTCTGAAATGAATAGGACACATTTTCACGTTAAGGGAATGCTGTACCATGCTAGCCAGATCACTTCCCAGGTTAACCGACTCGACATAATAACCGATTTTACGTTCGGATCATATAGTCTGCGTTCGAACATACTTAGCGGCTTGCATTCACAGCCGGACAACGGCGTGTTTTAAGATCCGTCGCGTAGGACTAGATAGGAAAGTAGATATCGATTCTAGTGAACTGCGAGCATCTACCAGCTACGGATCAGACAGCGTTCCGCGCAGCGACTTATAAGCGTCTCGAAAAGACTAGAAAAGGATGGATATCGATTCTAAATTTAGCGACCAGCGAGTTAGGTAGTATGGGAAGAAGTTGGCAGCAGACTGCTCTTAGGTATGTATGGTGAAGTAGGTGCAGAGACACCAGACTAGGCGTCGATAAATTGTAGACGGTGCTATTCGTCATACACACTACTAAACCACAATACCGTACTCCTGGTCACTGATAGGCGCTACATCAATATCCATAACTTCTTAGTCCCTTGAGACGCTGATGTTCGCTGGCGGACGCTGACGGACGCTGATGGTCGCTATGATCGCAGCCTTACATCCTGGTGTGAGTACCGCGCACGAGACGTCATCTGTCAGAGCTCTGCCGCCACTCCATAGTAGCAACGTGAAATGTAATGTCCTACAAGCGACTATCAAGCGCTTCTAAGAATTTCGGGATAATAGAGATTGGATGTGTTGATATAAAGCTTATCATTAGAGGTTGTTTTAGAAGTGCCGAGTGATAGGTACTTTCGTATGATGTAAACAATAAGCTACCGCAGAGGTATGTATCATTGTCAGTTTTTCTACACCTTGGTGAGTTCTTTACAATAGTAAGCAGTACGCTTGAGCGTTTTCAACCTAGATGAGTTGTCTAGCTGTACGGGTCACCCTCAAACTTAGTGTCTATATGGTCGTCACCACCTGTTACCTCAGCGGACATCAAATCCCGTCAAATGTGGTCGTTTTACGCCGTTAGGTCAGAGGGGTCTAATCGGGCTTTGAGTCACCCTTTTAGTTGACCAGTGCCTCCAGTTCCGACAGCTGACACAAGCCGCCTTTGCCCCCCTCCCTCCTTCCCCCAATACAAGATCAAACCGAAGTCCCGGAGAAATCCGCGCAGGAGGCGAACGTTTTATAGGGTGTAGCGGTAGGTTGTGGAAAAAGAGTCTTAGTGAGAACCCTCTCTTGGAGATAGTTGAGGATGGTCGCACTGCCACCGTCGTTTCACCCGCTTTACACACCCCCACGATGCCCTCCGTGAGTTATAATGCGTAATCTCCTCGTTTCAGTGAACAGATGGGGGAAGTTGGTTGTTTTTCAATTAAGAACCTTAGTGCTCCTAGCTTCTTCTTAATTCGCCTTGGCGAAGTTAACGTAGTGTACATAGAAGGAAATGGTGGAGGGTATGGCCGTTTTCTGCCCATCTGCTCCTTCTCAGCGGGACAGTGTTGAGAAAATCTGAATGGAACAAGCAAGAGCGAGTATGAGACCTGAACAGAGAATGGGCAGGGGCCTATCTGTTCATTGTCGTACTTCCTAAGTTATGGAGAAGGGGCCACGATTCTGGAATAGTGCCATGAATGGCAAAGGACCCAACAGGGTACTGATCCATAGGGAGATGCTCACGCAAAGCTGCCGATTGCTGCTGATATAGCGATGAGATTAAGTGACTTGAATTTGGCCACCATCCACGGAGCTTTTCTACTGTGGCTGAACATTGCCTTTATTGAAGTAATCAGAGTTTTGCGCAATGGGTCCTTTGAATGCCTCCACCCCTCCATGGTCATAAACGGCTAATGCCGTTTGGACTCCAGATAATTTCTGAGCTTTTCGAGGCTCTATTTCAAATTTTCCTATAGGCACCGAACATCCGCTAAAAACTTGTTTGCATATTGGTATTTAACATCTCCTTGTGTTTAGAGTGCTGACAATCATTCCTGCCATGGCCTCAAGCACAGCTGACACTACGATTTCTTTTCAATCATGGCTTTCAAATGTTCATTCGAACACTATGAGGTGTCCCATGAATAATCTATTTGTCTAACCTACAAGTAATTTACTGCTCAAAGTTTTACCTTCAGGCGTGCAGGCCCCGCTCGTATTTGAACATTAACAATAAGCTCATACTACCTTCTGTCTCAATGCTCAGTTCAGACAACGGATTTCAAAAGGTTGTTAAGTTATATGGTGGGTTAGTAGAATAACCTCTCTCTCTGAGACTGTCGTCTATGTAAATAGTTTGTTTGCTGGTTAATCACTGTTTTTCAAACAATAATAAATCAAATACTTGAACACTGTAATTATGCAATGGCGTTATGTTCTCTTTATTCACGTATGCTTTGCACACGTAAATAACTTACTTAACTACTTACTTACTTACTTACGTCATTCACTCTCCTGGGCTCAGCCGTTAGGCAGAGTCGCAGATAATCGTTGGTGTCATCCTATTAACGCCGAGGCGCTCAAAAAAGTTGTGTCATATTCGTGATCAGGATGTTAAACTACCCATATATACAAGTTTTTTAGCGGATTTGTGACTTAGGCAATTAAAAATGAGCTCGGAGCCGAAATTTCTGGAGTTCCAAACGAGCAATATAGCCGACGGAAACGCCTTGTGGTCCTTGCTGAATGGCTCCTTGAGGAAGGACACGGAGAACTAAATAACACCTCTCTCAACTATACTTAAGCGCTCACAGTCTGAAATTTTTTGCGCGTCCGCATAAAGTCATGGCACATTCTGTTTGTCATCGCTCTCTTACCAAAGCCAGCCTAAGATGGCTCGCCTAGGAAGTTTACACAGTTGTTTTTAGCACTTTTCTTGTGCTGATATAATTGATTTCAGTTTTAAAATGACTCTCAAATTCGCCCGTCTTCTGTCGTGAGTTAACAGCGTTTTGAAGAATTGGAATTTATTCGGCAAGATTGTAAGTGGGTGCAAATGTATGGGACAACATCCCTTTTAGCCAAAAGGAAAGCTGGTTAGTCTCATCATGAACATAGGAACAGTGATTCAAAGCTTCTCAGAAATTATGGCTTAAATCAGGCGTTTCCGGAGGGATGGAAACTTTGTTGTCCGAGCGGGTATGTGAACGCTAGCAGCGCCAGCTGTCACTGTTCCATGCCCGCATCATGTTGGATATAAACTACGGCGCTAATAATTTTGAGAGACGAGAGGGGGTGGGCATTGGAAAGACTTCTTGTGCAGAACTGGGATTACCGTCATAGGCATGAGGACTTTCGTCTAAGCCTAAACAGCAAAAGCACCAGGTTGGGCGCATCATTTCGCGTATGGAGCGTTACTTCATAGTTGGAGCATCAGGCGTACTGGCAGAGTATTCTTAGCTAGTTGCTTTGGAAAGCACAGACACACAGAGAGCTATTCGACTCAAGAGACGCAGACGCGTAGAGAGTCGACGCGCCGGAACCCTGAGTGGATTGGGTCCTCATACGAATCCTGCGTACGCCACCCTGTTTGCAACGCCCATTTCATCGCAATTGCGCGACACTGAGGTAACGCTTCGAATCCGAACTTGCCACAATCCAAGTGCCATAATTTTATTCGATGACGTCAATCCCAGGTTCCCACGAGCAGTTTTCAAAATATTACGCCCCGCCCTCCTACCCAAGTTTTTCTAGCTCTGGAATAACTATTTCGTTCACCTTTTCAGGTAAAAATAGTTCACAGCCGTATTCTTTCTATTGGTTCAAGCATGGTGAGTTGTTGAACATCGTTTAAATTTCTTTCTTTGACCATCACCTTATGCGTCGTTACAGTAGGATAGAACAAGTAAATACGAGACGAAAACAAATTAGTGTTCTTGTAGAAGTCATTGCAATTACAGCCCAGTCTCGGCGTTTGAGGGAGAGGGTTCACGGTTTCCGGTTGGGAGCATGACGACAGGAGACAGTTGCCGTTTTAGGCAGAGCCGTAGACAGCATGGGCGTATAAGAGTGCGTTACCGTGAGGAGGGTAGTGTGCTCCGCGATGAACAGCATCGTACCGGTTTCGCGGCAAAAAATTGTAAGGGGGCACGCTATAGCGCAATAGAGGTTCAGTGACGCCTCCTTTTTCCAGTGACTCCGCCTCCAGACTCCGCTTCTGCAGCCCGCCTTTCAGTGTGAAAAAAGAAGCTGCAGGACGAAAAAATATGAAAATTGTTGCAAGTTCTAATCTGAGAAATCAGCTGGTGCTGATGGTTGGAGATGGAATCAACTGGGCAAGTACAAACTGGGAATCTGAATGGGGTCCTAATTAGGGCAAATGGCGTAATTTTTCTGCTTCTATCGTCACTATCGAGATGCTCAGAGCCTCGTCGTCTATATGCAAACCCCTAATCCACTATATGTGATGGCGAGTGATCGCAAAGTTTGCCGTTAAGGGCACTGGGCACGATGGCTGGAGGCGAGCCGTTAGTGCCAAAGTTAATGGTGGAAGGGTTGAGTGGGGCTCTTGGACAGTCTCAGCTCTTGCACAGTATTATGCCTCTGATGCCATGACCCCCACCCTCAGAGGCTGTGGAACGGTAGCCGATTTGCAAGTCAGTGTTCTCATCCTCCCAGACGAATCTGATACCAGTTTACCCTCCCCGGAGGGCAGAAGGTTTGGTTGGCCTGGGCGGAAACCTATCCTTAATTCTATCCCCAAACCGCGCGCATGGTAAGCGTGTCACTGCCACTACTCACCTCCCCCTCTTTCTCTACCTACCCTTTAATCGTTCAGGATGCTGCATACCGACAACGTCCGCAGTATGGATGCTAATTGTGTTGTTTATTTTTGCAACTGTGATGATGATCTTTTGCTGTTTTTCCACAGCTTTCATTCGTTGGGTAAGTCCGAGGCACATCGCGTGATAACAGGGTGACGTGAGTGAAGTCAACCTATCCATCTGTAGAAGTCTGATGACTGAAAAAGTAAAGAGCACGCATGCCATGCACTTTCAAACAATAGAGATGGTACAGCATTTGTAGTTATGGGCCAGGCAACCCTGTGCAGACAGCCGCCCCGAAGTTTCCATTGATTCACGTGCATCTAATTGTCTTGTAGGCCGCTTAGTCCACGGCGGTCGTATGGGCGGAGACAGAGAGGCCGATACTCTGTCATCGGAATATTTGAGCCACAGAACAAAAGCTGCTTCTGCTAGTCGGCACTGCCCCCTCCCCTTACATTTCTTTATTTGATCTAAGCACTTTAAGCTGTATCAACGTCAAATAAGGAAGAAGTCAGATTCTTTGAGACGCAAATATAGAAACGAAGAAGAAAAACGGAGAGAAAACGAACTAAGACTGAAAGAATTAGCGCTAAGACGTGAGTCCAGTCTGTTTCAGCTTCAAAGAGATGCCACTCGTGAGCGCTTAGGTCAGGTTGTGAGCGTCGAGGTGCTAAGTACGCAGTAACTCGACATAATTCAGAAAAACTGAGAAGACATAGCCAGGTGCTTGTTTTTCCTGCAGACGCTGTAGTGTGTCAGCGGGCTGGGTTTATCGCGGCGCATCCCTTTCCCTACGAATAGTTGAAGTAGACAAGCGACAAATATCGGTGAATAAGCGATATTATCACATACACCGATATTTGTCCTGGTTGGCCCCGCCAAACCCAGCCTCTGATGTGCCAGCGTTTGTAGCGAAATCGATCACAACAGAGCTGTGTCGGTTTTACGTATTCTGTGAGCATACGAGTAACAACACTGATAGAAAGCAAAGGAGCGTGTGGAGAAGTATGGCTTGAAGTGTCGCCTGAAGAAGCACGATAGAGTTCGGAGCATTGTGGTGGAAACGAGCCATACGTCCAATTTCTAAACCGCGGAGAAACCCTGTATATTGTAGAGGGCCAGGATTAGGCGGCGTTAATGTGGTTAAGATGGGTGGTGCAAAAGGCAAAAGACGAGTCACAAGAACAAACCAGAGAAAGGATAAGCTGGTAAACGGGGAATGAAGTGGAGGAAGACTCGAATGAGAGCCCAGACGTTTACATAAACGGAGTTAGCTCTATAAGCTCCACATTTATGCCGTCCTTGTCAGAAAGTGACAAGAGGCAATACCGAAGGTATCGGCGGCAGATGCGTATTCCAGTGCTAACTCTGTTCTCTTGGAAATACATGTGCGCCTTCCTTTCGTTCCAGTCTCCCCGCTCTCGCGGCTCCTTGCTCTCAGATAGGAGCTGTACCTCTGCGTGAGAGTTGGTGTGAGAAAGTAGGGGGGGAGGGGAGAAAAATTCCACCCAGTTCCCCCAATATCATTTTAAATGTTTTGGAGACTTTTTCCTCGATGTTATACCTAATTGACCAGAAATAGAAAAATTGTTTTGGACTCGAGAGGTTTCGAATGGAGCACATTCCATGCAGATCGGGCGGACTCACAACGGAAATTGCTCTCATCTCTTTAATGGACTCCTCTTTATGAAATAGCAAAGCTGAGAGCGCTGTAGTAAAATACGCTCCCTGTGATATCGCTCATATAATCACCGTGAAACACCAAAAAGCGCCTCTGCCAATGACGAATATTCATTTCCTTCCCTTTTTCAGCTATACATACCACTACAAATTCGTTATAGCCCAGATAATACCGATGAGATTCGCTGGGCACCACAGACCCGGTATGTAGTTCATACTGCCACGGGCGCTGGTGTAGTACAGGTCCCTTACACGCTGAGAGTGGGGAGATGAAGTGTCAAGTAACACATTAATGGTGATGATACCTGCATTCCATCTTGCCAATGACGCTTTACGAGCCGTGCCCAACGCGTATTGTGACGTCATCGACACGTCATCGATCCGTTAACAGCTACTGCACTGCAACACTTACCTTTACTACATCAGTGCCAAGTCGCATACTGATTCTTCCTGATGAATAAAAAGATGTTGCTATTGAAAACGCATGAGACTCACGCTTTCAGGTTTTACCAGGGAGTGCTGAAGACTACGCCAAGAGGACAATGCCACCTCAAGATTTAGCCCCCTCAACTGACCTCTCGACAACCAATAGGCGTTATTTACGGGAGAAACACCACTGTCCAGCACTCAGGGTGCTGTACAGGCTACCCCTCCAGGACCATATGGCGCTGGCCCTGCAGCAGGAGCAATGGAGGCTCCCAAGGTAGGTGACTGCTATAGTATAGGGCTAGAACTAAGAGACAAGCAAGCACAGACTGGAGGACGTCGCCTAATCAATGGTTCAACACCTAGCCTGTTGCCAGTAAGACTTATGAGAACACATAGAGAAGAAAAGTCTTGGGGACCAGAATAGGCTCACAATTAGGCGGGAGGGGGGGGGGGAGAAGGCATCATATGGCACTCAGGAAAGCCTGCTCAGGGACCATTGTAAAGACGTGTGGTTTCATGTGACTAAAATGGCTCACTGCAAAGCAATTTTCGCCTAAGGTTTTACAGATTCCACCCAAGGTGAAACGGTTGACTGGGACAAGTGGTCGAGCTTGTTACTTACAGAATGACACAGAGTGGTTCCATAATGAAACGTGGCAGCAGACAGTGCTAGGTCGCAGTGGCACTGCTTACAAAACCTCTCCCCTTTGTCGTAATATGTAATGTAAAAATGTAAGTCCCCGCAACACATCTCAGCTCCCGCGCGGAAACACCGCGTGCGACATCCCGCATACCTTCGCGACGTCGCGCTGTGACCAACGGTATACAGGGGGGGGGGCAAAAAAAAGTCATTTCGGCCGAGCCACATATCAACGAAGTTTTCGCAGCCCAGACAGGGGAAGTGGATATGAGTACCAGAGTGGAAGATACCCAAGATCTTCCTCTATAAGCTGGAGCAGGCTGCCGCCAATCGCCTTCATGTACCAAAATATGAAGTCATCTCCAGTCGCAGCCTGACTGGAGAAGACCTTTGGAATTCATGTCACCTCCAAACAGCTGCGAAACTTCTAGTGTGGAGTCACCCATGGGTAGCTACCTGGAGACTAGTACTCAATCTTTTGAGACCTCCAACGTGCGGGTTGAATGCTTGCGACGGAGGTACCACTGGAATGGGAAAGACTAATCTTGTTCTCTCCCGTGACCCGGAACAAAAAGGCGAGCCGATGGTGTTACATCGAGCAACTCGAGAAAGAATATCCTCCCTCACATGTGGTCGCCCGTACCTTCTTGGAGACCTTGTGCTGCTACAGGTTTGGTGCCACCACATGGAATCGAAGGGTTTTGGAAAAACTCCCGCCTACTTCGAATGGAAGGGCGTTTCGTGCCTGAAGAAGATGTAATATTGAAGTATGTCCCCTGAAACCATTCATTTATCAGTTCGAGCGGAGTTCAATAGGGTGGTCTAGCGGAGAAATCGACTCGCTGATCTCAGGCACCACATCGCGGTCGCGTGCCAGAATCTCTCGATGGCGCTCGTCCAGAAGGCTGTGGCGGAGTGTCATGATAGTATTTAATATGCTCTTTAATATGGTGGTGGAATTGTCCGATAATAATTTACTAAAGTGTACTTACAGCGCCTCGAAAGTCAGTGAGGCAAAGTGACTTTTTGCCCCCCCCCTGTAATCCTTGTGAGCCAGACATCATCAGACCTAATATGGAGGTGAATTCTTAACAGTAAAAGGAAAAAAAGTGAAGGCAATTGACTCAGATCGTTGAAAATTATTACATTAAGCTTCGAGCATACAATCCGTAATAATAGTAATGATCGTCCACCTGGTAACCGTAAGGAGTCAAAGAATAATAACTGTATCAGTCATAGTGATGAAGGTGATTTCCTGTTCATTTTTTTCTTTCCCTAAAATGGTTGTAGGTGGACGAAATGCAAATGGATCCCATCGATGTTGCGGCTACTGTTCATACAATAGCGAAAGAAGTAAAAGCAGAAGATACCCGGCCGCCGTTCACAGGCGTCACTATCGTCAAAAAGAATCCGGGTATGGAAGATGTTTCAGTCAAATAAAATGCCAAAGCGGAACTCCAGTGGGTATTTGGAAACCTCACAGATGAATATGCGAGCAAAGATTGAAGCTCTTCGCTGGCGTAACTTTTGAAGACAATCCCCGCGATCAAGTGCAACGGGTAGTAGGTGCACAGCCATGAACCAGTACCTCCTTAAGTACACTCTAGTTCGCTGCGGACGGTTGGGCGTGTCAGGCAGTATGAGTGTGCACACCGTCAAAGCCGTTCTCTGCCTTCTTGTTGAAGCGCGCATGCGACAAAAAGTGGTAGAAAACGAGTAATACGAACGATATGATACAGTCATATCATTTGCTCGCTTTAACAACTGGTGGAGAACGGGTTTGGCACCGCGCCAAACTCATCCCGCCTGACACGCCCAACCGTCCGCAGCGAACAACACTATAACTTCGCAGTAGAGAAAGAATCGAAAAAAACCTTGGAAACACTCTGAACAGTGAAGACCCCCCCCCCTTAGCAGTGGGGGCGGCACCTTGGACGAGCGTTGGGCAAGCTCAATCAGCAGGATTCGACGTGCAACCGATTCCCGGCAATATCATGGGAAATTGCCCTACGACGCTCCAGGCAACGCTGTGTACACACGCAGCTCCGCTTGTAAGACGTTGTCTTGCAGAGTAAAAGTAGTCGAGGCTGCAATGGTTGCAATAATCACGCGTCTCCCCACCTGGCAATCTTGATGACTGGTAGTTACCATGGATCATCCGTCCAGCTGCGGATGAAATCTTCTGCCGAAACGTAGGAATGTGTTTACCATTTCATTTCAGTGTCACTAAACGAGTGCACTAGTGACGTGATCGGTCCGTCAACTCAGCGGGACAGATTTCCCAGGAACAAGTTGTTATGGCAGTTCCAGCAGTCAAGGAACTACAGGCGATAACAGTGGCGTAAGTTCGGTACTGATCCTTTCGAGTTTTTAGCTCAATAAGCGGTAATGCAATGACCGTTGTAACGGTGGTTGTTATGGGGTGTCAGGCGATAACTTATGTTTGCTCCCGTCCGTGGGACTCAGAATCTGAGCAATTTGAATTTCCCCAATACCCCCGCTACGGGTTCTCCAGAGTTTAGTGAAGAGAGAAAATCAAGCCGACTGATACATTTGTTGAGCCTCGTAAGCATTGTAAGGGTTTTTTCTTTTTGTTCAACCTAAACCACTTCCGCTCGGAATGGAGATAGCAGAAAAGATTAGCAGAAAAGTGCCGATTGAGACAAAAAACTTATTTTCTCCACTACTGTAGCTTTTTCCCCACGAGAGCTCACATTTAAAGGCCAAAATCTTACGTTCCCAAAAATGAACAATCCCGTCCATTACTTTCCAATACAGCACTGTAACGAAGTCATTTTATGAGGTCAAGCGAAGGAGAAGCTACTGGACAATTTTTAAAGCCCCATTCCCCCCGTCCTTCCCCCTCCCAGTTTTGACAGTACCTCTTAGTTCCTTGCAAAACCTTGGTATCCAACACCAGCTCATTGATTTTCTGGAAGTGTTCCTATGATGAGTTTGATTGACAGAATTAATGAACTACTTATGGTTACTTGCCAGTAACCTAAACAACAAATGTACATTTCGCTTCAGGCGTATGGGCGAAGACTCAAACTGGTGCTACTACAAGCAGAGCCTCAATAATGAGGGGTGTATGATGTCCATGAGCTCCTGCACCTATTTCTCCGCCCATGCGGTGACCATGGAGCTTGTCTTTGCGGACGAGAGGGTAGAGCGTTCGGTTTGGGGTTCCGTCCATCCCTCTCTAGGGGCTGCCACCGGCGCAGTTTAACCCCCCTGATTGAATCGTTAGGAGCATGAGGAGGAGCAGCTTGCAATGGGTTTTATGCTCTCGAACATGTCTTGGGCTCATTGGCTAATCCGACTAGGTGGGAAACCTGGCTTGAACATTGGGAAGGAAAAGTTGCATTTCAAAAAAGATTGAACAATTCCCACAGTAAGGCTGAAATAGGCCTCATGCCGCATCCAAAAAATCGTGCTCGCGGTCATGACATGCCATTTAGGGGCACGACAGGAACAACTCCTCCATACTTCCAGTCAACAATAGAAAAGGCCTCAGAGGAAAAAGTACGGTAGTGGTTGGTCAGCATGCTGCTTTGTTTTTCAAATATTTTCCTGAAAATTTATGTAAGTTGTGTTTGCATAGTGGTAATTACGGAGTATCTCGATGCAAGGTGTAGCGGGGAGGTAGTGCTTGGTCTTCGGCTCAACAATCTATTACTTTACTGAGAAGCAAACCTGTTCTGGACATCTCCGTATGAATACACGTCGTTAACGTGATAGTGACGCCAGTGATACGTCATCTATCCCTTAAAGGGTAGCCAAGCGCTGAACCGTGTACCTAAGCTACATCAGATCACTTTCAACTAATTGTTGCATTGACTGTTGTTCTGAAAGATTTCACTCAGGCCATCCGGTGATAAGGAGTCTGTCCTGTCTTCAACGCCCTCAGAAAAAGCGCCAAAGCCTAAGAAGGAACCCATATTCACTCCAACGGAGCCTTCAGAACCTGAAGGATTGGGAAGAATGCCGAAGTCTAAACCAGTTGTACAAAGGAAAGAAAAGGAAGGTAAGGCAATACGGATTCTATGCTTACAATCAGAGACACACTCCAGGCTGATCGCTGGGGCGAGGCCAGGCCTAATGTTGTGACTCCCTTATGGCGTCGTTCTCTACTAAGAAAGTGAAAATGAGGAACGCGCTGATGGGGAAGTGGGCCCGACTCCGCGCACGCGGTCAGCATGAACTGTCAGTTCTGAAAATGCAGAACAAAAGCGTATATCAAACTTAGCCATCTTGAGTCTCAAAGGTAACGTGGTAATCCGACCAAGCGCTCATATTCTCTTTATTCCTGCTGTCTCCTTCTTTAGGCTAATTATTACAGCTCCTTTAATTCTTCAGATCAACTCCAAGATTTGCCCCCTGATGACATTACGCATTCGATTCCAAGAATCCTGTTTATAGCTCACAAGAATGTTTAGGTAGTTTTGTTTAGATGTCGCACCATACTCACGGCCGTACTTCCCATATTGGACAGCCCAGAAATTCTCGACGTCCAAGGTTGAATCGGTGTGTTGGTTCAGATTTAGCGTACATTTCACACTTCTCGCATCATCTCTGAACTAGCTCAAAGTTAAACAGCTGTTGTCAATCCTGGCCCTATTTACCGAATGCTGGCCGAAATTTTCATTGGAATCTCTCTCTAGTGGCATGCTTGGCCAGGGTCTTGCATCAGGAGCCGCTTGGTCTCCTGAACGGAACACTCGCACTACGTGGTTACAGATGTTAGTAAAGAGAATACAATCTATGAACAAAAATTGAGCAATGTAGTAAATATAAATAGGTACAAGTAAAATAAAAGGTTGGAGAAGCAGTAATATTTTTCCAAAGTAACATTTTTCAATTAGAATACTTCACCATCGGGGCGAGTTCGTGGTGCGAAGATAACGACATCCGAGAAGAGCTTCTGGATGCCTTCGGGAACAGGATATACCTCCAGGTGAGCTGGCTAAATTCAGGTTTGGCCGAGAGATCCATGTGGCGCCCAGATACTATCTGGTAATTCCTATCTAGTTGACTTGGCATACTATAACACTTTCGCGTTAACTCAGTTAGGTTTTGGTGCGAGTGTCGCGCACACGACGTTGCTTCCAACGCCACTCTCGCCACATTACCACAACGTGCATTTTGACCGTACCAGTAACCTGTTTGTTGGGCCACATTTATGGTGTATTTTGCAGTTCTCGCTACAGTGGTCCGATGACGTTCGGCGCCAGCATTCAGGATGTAAAAATTGTATCGCAACCGGAGAAAGAAGTAGGCAGCAGTGCTGCCAAGGCTCCTCCGCCGCGTGATGCCTACGAATTGCGCCGTGAATTAGAGCGCATGCGTGCAAATGAAATCTCAATAGGAATGCAGGTGGGTGAAATAATTAACCAAGTACTGAGTGCTGAGTACCCAGGGCAAGTCGTACGTTAGAAAGTTCACAACGCAGGAGAATAGGGTCGTTTTAAGTCGCTGGAGGGACCGGGATAGCACTTGACCTGAATATTTTTGAATGATCCTTCTACCCCTCACACCCGCTACACAGTACCCAAGGACCTTAGTTAGGGGCGCTGTAACCCAACCTTCGGTAACTGATCAGACGAGAACTTCCTCTGAGGGGCAATTTCATTTTTCCACGCTGATCGTTTGTATGGTGCAACGTCCTTCCCTGAATCGCACTTCCTCACCGCAAGTTTGAAGGCAGAGGAGAAATGCTGAAGAACATGCAACAATCCCACTGGCCCCTCCCATACGACAAGCGTGGAATGCCTCATTCTGCTATAGGGAAATCCAAACTGAAAGCAGCAACATTATTACGAAAGAAATTTCAATTTTCTGTTCTAGGGCATTATTGAGGATGTCAAGAAACGTCACAAATCCGAGCAAGTACCACCATTGCCACCAATTACAAGGTTTGGTGTAGGATCAAGTGATTTCGAGCCATTTGATTTCACGGTTTTTTTTTCAGCGAAGTCGCCGACCGCACGACTACAGCGAGCAAAAGCGAGTAAGTGATCAGTTGGTAACGGATTCAAAACAATACTTTTGAAGGGATCCAAGAAGAAAGCTTCTTATCCTTGATTTGTCCCTCTACTTCCTTTTCTTTGGAACGACGGGCTCCTGAACAGCTTCAACAGATATAGGACCAAGCACGATTGACGATGAAAATATGTGAGCATGGAATGGAAATCCGTAGGTGTTAACTGGGTCGCCAGTGAGGAAAAGAGCAGGGGTAGCCGCGAAAAAATGCCCCGAAGTCCTCCTCTTTGTAAGCCATTTTGATCACATGTCCGCTACACAAATTCTGGCATCAATTTGCTTGCGCCATGCCAATGAGAGGGCTACTTAAACCGCGAAGATTTTGCGTGAGGGGCCCCCCGTCAACATCCCATGACCATCAACGTCTTCCCCATTGCTGTCCGTATTTCGTCAACGCCACCTCACTGACGAGTTCCGGGATTGGCGAAATTACAATGTTATGAGGTAAGAGACAAAACCTATGCCCATTTCTTCTTCTAATTGGTCCTGTGTGGCGGTTGATTTGATGATGCTGCTTTGCATCGATATTCCCTTTCCTTTCGATTTTGTAGCAAATTTAACATCCCAGTTATTAGGGATGATGCATGAGTGTCAGTTTTGACCTCGAAGTTTTGTGTAAATATCTCAAAAGGCGGAACCTCAGCCTGAAAGGATTAGGAGGGTAACGCCCATCACTCTCCATGTCACTACTCTCTCGACCGCTCCAGCGTCAGGCGCCTCGACCCACCTTCTAAACGACGCGGTGTGCTATAGACTGTGGGAAGAAGCGCCTCTCGAGCCTCTGGCAACTTTATTCGAACTTTTTTCCCGCTAAGAGAGCGCTGTAGGTGGCTGAAGCAGGCCAGTAGTCAGAGAGGGAGGCGGTGGAGGTTACCGGTAGGCGGGGGGAGTGACCACCAGCCATCCTTCTTCTCAGCCGGCCCTGGCAAGGATGCCTTTACGGAATCATGGAGGGTCGGGCTTGTCATGGGGGAAGATAGATTTCCGCATCGGTCAGATCCCACGAGAGTACGGCCAGTGTCTTTCAATTTCACCAGCATGGTGGTAAGCAGGTCAAGTGAAATGGCGTCAAGTCGCTCCCGTCCCCTTCTCAGCAGCTCCCATACCCAGCCTCTGGACCGTACCCAAAAGGCAAAGAGGAACCTTTTTGGCGGGCGAAGTCGGCCTTTGGTGTGGCTCTGGTGCTTCTCCTTATTGTCGACCCACTGCGCTTTCCTCACATCTCGTTATCGATAAGGACCACTTACTCATCTCAAGTAGTCATCGAGTCGAGAAGTGAAAGCTCCTTTTAGTGGATCGTGAGCAAACACAGGCCACAACAGGGCGCATGGTACCTTCTGTCACGCTGGTAATTGTGCGGACATTGTAGCCTGCAAACGCAATGTGGGTGACGTGATGCTAGCTGGTGATTAAAAGAGTATATTGCAGAACGTCACGAGCACACGGTGACATAAAACATATGCATCAACCTAGTATTAAGCTGAGGGGTCTAGCCCTAAGTTTTCAGGCGTTCGAAGCCTGCACCTCCTCAAACGAACACCAACGCCTTTTCGGCTCTCAAGGCTGCCGTTAAGAGAGAAGGTTAGTAAAGCAGTAATGCCTATGAAGCACATAAAATAGAGTTTATGGTCACGACAAAAGTTATAATGGTTGACTTCATCTCATCCTTCTCCAGTTAACGGAATCATTCGAACCTACTGTGGTTTCTTGCAGAGCTAGCAAAGGAGTTCTCACTCAAAAGTTCTTCATCTAGATGGCGTGAAAATTCAATCATGGAATGAGGATAGGGGGGGTCGAGCGCTGGACAAAGACAATACGGAGCACACATAATCCCGTGGGTCACGGTGCGTAGATTTGTTGAAGTAGGCGGTGTCAAAAAAAATCTGTCATTTTAAAGACACTTACCGCGATAACGTGTTCGGGTAATTGGTGCCCAGTAACGAAGCAGTGGCCCATTTGTAACCCCCCCAGTGGAAAAAGACCTCGCGAACACCCGGAACACGGACCTCCCTTTAGCAGTGGGCGAGCGGCGGCACTGGACGAGTGCCGCCGGCTGTGGACTGCCGGGATCGGGTGCGGCGGCCCTCCAAGCTACCGCCCCTGATCGTACGGTTTTTACGGGGGAGAAGCCTCCCGTTTACGAAGAAGTTTCTGAGAAATCCGAGCATCGATTGCCCTCGATAAAAACGTGTTCCACTGCATTAATACATGTTTTTTTCTGGTCTCGAGAGTTGGGAGCTGGGGAGAACTCAAGTCAGAGTGGAGCTCAGAGGTTGGAGCTCTTCTCAGTATTCATGCTGTTCTGTTATATTCTCTCCTGCTACGCGCGATGCGGATGCTCTAAGCAACAAGCGGGAGAAACAGACTTTCGTACGTGATACTCATCTCCCCGTGCTTTTTCTTCAATCCTCCTTCACTGCCTTCTTTAGTTTCTTGCCTCTCTCTTATCCTATGTATGCTTTTCTAAGAATTTGCGCTTCCAGCCAGCTATAAACAGCTATAAACCAACTTTGGCTAAGTGCCAGAAGGGCCGCGCACGAGACGCGCCGCGCGGGCGTTAAAGGGACGGAAGCAGCTCGGGACCGGACGCCTCGTCCACCTACCGTCTCAGCGAGCCTAGCGAGCCTTGTGGAAATCGCTATAACTTCCTCATCGCGCCATATTGAGGGATGAAAAGTGCTATCATCTTCTTCAAGGCGTAGAGGGTTCCAAACAGCACGAATTCCATTTTACGGAGGACCACTTTTTTTTTCCGCCCCTCGTGGTCACTGTGGGCGGATTTGTAGAAGCAGGCGGTGTCAAAAAAAATCTGTCAGTTTAAAACAGCCTAAGACCGGGAAAATAATCGAGGGTGAGTAACGGGTGATCCACTAAAAGAAGGAAGTGGTGTGTGGCTCGTACTGTAAGTGGGTGATAATTGCTAGGGAATTTCGTTCTTCGTTTGCCCAAGACCCAGCTATGGACCTTATAATCACGAACCGTACTCTACAGTAACTGAAGGAGCGTTTTTCCTGCCATGACAATTTTTTTGATCCATTTCAGGTATTTGAAAATGAAAAGCAACGGCTGCTTACGTAACATCAGATTGAGTTAAATGATTGTCAGAAAATGATGGTAACATGATCGTTCATGGTTAATGCGATCGTTTCACATAGTTTACTCGCTTTTCTTATGTTCATTATATATTGTTGTAATAGAAATCGCCAAATAAATGGTACATTTACAAGGGTTTTTTTGATCCATTTTGGCCTTCGGGGATAACACGACTCAAAATTAGAGGCTGTACGGCCCAAAGGGGGCATTTTGCACTTTCGCTAGTATCTTTGGTTCGTTCATGTTAGCTTACAGGTCGTCAGACCTGTAAACTCCTGTGAAGCTGCGAAAGTGCGAGAGTGAGGCACTTTGGTTGCAAGCATTCACAGGTATTCACAAGTTGGCCTGTACAAGTTTAGCTGAGTACCATTCGTTGCCCACATTGAGCCAAACTGCGTCCAAGCAGTGTGAAAGGTTTTTATTGTTACCTGGAATCCTTGTCTTCTCTAAGACCCAAGCGATGGCTTCCCGACAAATGCCCTCACTCTCGCCTTCGAGCTTGTGGAATAGCTCAGAGACTACTTTCCATTCCATAGATATCCCCCAAACCTTATTTGCTGCGGTTTTCTTGCTCACCCTAATCTATGCCATCCATTAGTATTCGACGCTATTAAGTATTCATTAATTTGCAGTATTCATTAATCTTCGTTCA